CTCGGCGTTCTGATCAAGATCGCCAGACAGGAGTAGAGCAGTACTGAGGGCTACGCCGATGTTGATATCATCAGCACTATCGTTGGCCATGACTGGCTTATCTTCCAGAATAATTTTTGGAGCCCAGGGGGCATCATTCTTTTTAGACCCCAAGGTGGTCGCAGAAGATGAACTCGACTTTTTTGATTTTGGGGATTCTGATGGTTGGGTTTCAAAGCACCTCTTCCCAGTAGAGGGTTGAGATTTGTCACTCTCAGCCAACTTAGAGATCGGCAAAGTATCTTCAGACTCAACCTGAGTTACCTTCGCCTTTTGCTGAGCCTTTTTTACTCGTTTTGGCTTTGGTGGAAGTTGGGTTTGTGTTGGTTGAGCTTCAACATCAGAAAGAAGGCTGGCTAAGAGGTCTTTTGCAAATGGTTTTGGGCAGCCCATATCGGCAGTAAGGACAAGTCGTCGCCGACGTTTTCTCTGGGATATCGGAATCAGGTATTGAGCCAAGGTTGATGGCTGATTAGCTGGATCAGATGTTGATCCTTGATCTATCCGAGATGTGGAAGCAGTTTGTGGAGTTGTGGCAGAGGGTGAAGATAGGCTTTTCTTCTTCTTCTTAGGGACGTCAGGCAGAGCTGACTTGTATGTTGGAATGAAATTGAGAAGCAGAGGCGCCTTCCGCTTATGGATTGGCAAGTCCAAGAGTTTTTTCAAATCCTTGCTGGGGATAAAGGATTGGCGAAAGTTTTTTGGTGGTTTAGGAACAGCTGCAAGACAAACAGACATTAAGAAACAGATAAAGTATAAAAGGCTTTGAAAACAAGTAAGCATGAATACAGGTCTCTTACCATTGCCCTCTACAAAGACTGATCGAGGGAGAGGGAAAAGATGGAGGTCTTTATCTGGGGCGAACTCCCAGTTCCCTGAAGTAATGAAATAATCATCCCCAGCTCCCTTGTTGGAGTCAGAGAGGTCGGCAACGATTTTGTATTCAGTAGACCTCGACTTGAGGTAGTAAACGTAACCGGTGTCTTTTGGGAGGCCACACATGGTGTAGCAGTATTGGATGTCGGCTAATGTGATCCTAGCGTTCTCTTGTTTGGCTAAAGTTATGATGCCATTGATGGTTCGATAGGAATTAATGGAGAGTTGCATCGGGTTCAACTTATAGTAATGAAGAATTTCACGAAAAAAGGTGTTAAGTGGAAGCTGAAGTCCACACTCAATAAAGGCAACCACAGGGAAAGGCATGAAGTGATCGGTAGACATGATGTAGTCATCATCCCCAGCCAGTCTCAGATGGACGTCGGCTGGGATTTCAAACTCTTGCCTAAAGTATTCAAGTTTGGATGGGGTGTTTACCCTATGTTTCCACATATCCATGATGTCGGCCTGAATTAGAGGGGCTGGATTAAAGAAAGAAGATGTGTCGAAGGGGTTGTTGGGACCTCGGCAAAAGCCTAGGTATGTGTTGGTGTAAAAATTTGTAAAGATTATTTTAGTTTTTCATAAAGGATTGGTGGGTTCTACAGACAAATCCCCAAATCTAAAATTATGGAGATGAAGATTGAAGGCACAGATCTAGAAAAAACACAGAAAACAAGAAACAAGAACGAGTTTCAGAAATCAAGAACAAAGGTGGGCTACCAAAAGCATAGAAAGTACAAGGGGTACAAGGTCAAGGACAGTGACAAAAATGCAAGAAAGAGGTGAACAGTACGTATTCAAGACATGGGCAAAAGTGAAGCCATTGAATAAGTGCATTCAGATATATGATTCGCAAATCAAATATTGAACAAAGCAGTAATGGCAACAAATGATGAAGAGCATCAAGGAACTGAAAACAAGAGAAACAATGGCTTACCAGAAAACGTGAAGCCAGTGTGAGGATCGCCGAAGTTAGGCGACGGTTACAGAAGTAACGGAGCGATGAGAGCTTCACTGGAATGAAGAAATGCTGGCAGTTGCAGAGCTTGAAGCTTGGGCAATGGCAGATTCAGGAGGAAAGAGCCAGAGAAAGAAAAAGCAAGAGAAATCGAATGCGAAGTGAAGAGACAGAGAAAAGAGAAACAAGTTTTGTTAAAACTTGAAACGGCAGCGAAAGCAGAGTTAATGAACCTTGAATGACGGGTCTGTCAGACGGCGCACACAGGCGCGAGATGACTAACAAGCGCGTGCAGAATACGATCCCGTGAGAATGAGACGCATGGATGAAACGGTTAAGCTTTTGTGTAAGACAGCTCATGTGTGGTCTTTAGGAAGGCATGTCGGTCTGAATGAATGACCTCGGCTGAGAGATGTTGAGCCGATGTACTGGCAGGAAGTACCGATATAGGTTCCATCACCTCAGAATGTCGAGGTAATAGAACCTAGGGGGCAGTTGTGGGGATATATTTTCTGAGTACCAACACGTGACAAGGTCACGACGACGTGTCAGTCGAGGTGCCACGTGTCTTGGACATGACGCTGAGGTGATCTCGGCTAGGTCGAGGTTATCTTCGAAGATATCGGAATCCAAGATAAGCGGATAAGGGACAAGAGTCCTAGAATGAAGAAAGACTGCAGAATGGATAAGGATAACACTCTTAGGGAGTCTATCCTTATCTCTTGAGGAATCCAAAGTAAGCACTAAATGGGAGTCCATAGAAGTCAGGCTTCTATTGGGACTAGGATTGAGTTAACTATAAAAGAGAGGCACCCCGTGGGTCTAAGGTACGCAATTTATGCTTTGAGCAGTAAATTTAGCACTTGATTATCTTTGAGTGATATACTGACTTGATCGTCGGAGTGCCCCCGGGTGGAAGAACCACCGCCGGAGCCTTCTCTTTCTATTGCAGGTTAGCTGAAGCCATCTATTCTGCCCATGCTCTCTAGCTGATTACTAAGCGGGCAGTGTAATCAGAAAATCACTCACACACACCATAGGTGTGTCTCACCTAGTATTCAAATATATAACTTGTAATACGGTTGCGACATTATGTTCAGAGGCAAAAGTTACTGAAAACCAAATAAAATGAAATGAATCATGGGATTGGCTTAGTGGCCAACATCGGGGTACCTCATTTACAGCTTATTGGTTCAACTGTCTTCCATGTAGTAATTATATGGACATCCGTGTAATTTATTTATTTATTTATTTTGCAAGAATTATCAAAATTCCTGCTTAAGTTGTACATACTATCCTATCTAAAAAAAAAAAAGAGTTGTACATATTATTATTTTTGTCTAAAATACTGACAATTAACAACTGGACCACATTGAAATGTAATTAAAAATATGAAGTTTAAACAATAAAATAGTAACTATAGTAATCAAAGCAAAATTTTGCCCAAATTAAAGGATTAAAGAAAAAAGTATAAAATAACTCAAAGCTTGGAGGATGAACAAAGATATGTTAAAGTGTAATTGGCTTAGAGTTGGTTGATGACCACTATTGTATCTCATCTTGAGATATCTCAAATTAAGTGATGAGTTGAGAAAACGATGATACTAGAGGGACTCTGAAACTGTCCTTGTAAGGACCATCATGTATAGTCAAGTGCCATTAGTTCTCCAATGACATTGTTGGAGCACAATCTTGGTTACATAGCATCTGCAATTTTCAGTATCAATTAGTACCACCAATAGAAATTGTGGTTTAGTATATTTCTACTGGGCTGTGGCTCACCCTATATGGGAACATTATTTTCAAGTTCAGGTGATAAGCTACCTCCAAGGACTTAGCTTGGAAAGGACTTGGATTTTGAAGACTATCTTTAGTTAATTGTCTTTATTTATTTGTACATGTAAACATCCAAGCCTAGGGCTTTTCTTGTATTGAGTTAGAACTCATCTTTTTGTATCCAAGTGTTGGCTTGGAAAGATGTAAGCCTGTAGGGCATTTTATTCGATGTTACATGTAAAGCTTTTATTTAGTAATACTCTGATGAATGAATTAATAAATTGTTTTCTTTAAATAATGCATGTTAATGATATATATATATATAATGGGTTGATTTTGAGGGCGTTACAGATAGGATATTCTCTTCGGTGCCAACCTAGTTGGGATCAGATAGATATACTATTATGCTTTATGCACTTCCGCCTCCTTTATTAATATATTTCCATGCTTTGTATATGAAAATTCTATCAATAAAGTCGTTTCTTTTAGTTGATAAAACAAAAAAAAAAGGTAATATACAAGAAGACTGGACTTTTCTCCATTCAAATATGGGTCGAACTGTGAATCAATAATGAAAAAAATTAGATGAAATTGGATATCCTAGCTGTTGAAATTGATATCATCAAAAAAATGCACATGAATGATTTTGATAACATATGACAAATATAATAAAATGATGTGTTTATGATTATCAGTCTTGAATGATTTGTGCACATAGGCTTAGAAGATCAAAGTAACAATTATTAAAAACAATCACATGTAGCTAAAAAATTCCCAAATAAGACCACCAGACTGTGAGAGAAGTTCAATCCTAAAACAAATATAAACTAGATAAAATAAGAGAAGAAAGAAAGAAGCAAAGGTAGGTACAAGAACAACATATATATATAAAAAAAATTAAATGTGAAAGAAGCATGCCATTGAATACCTTAATAAACCTGTCACTTAATTCCATTTTTCTTGCTTTGCTTAGGCAGCAAAAGAACTCTATAAAGCTGTCAATCATGGCCTTTACAAGAGGATAATCTGAGACAATAACACTGGCAATTTCCAGAGACTTGAATTCCCCTTTACAAGAGATATATACAAGGTCTCCTACATACTTAAACTCTTGAAGATTGGGTGCAAAAATTATCAAAGATTTGCCAGTCCGAAAACCTCCTCCATGCCCCATTCGTCCTCCTACAAACAAAGTGCGCAAGTTCGCAGCAGAAATTTTGACATCACAAACCTCATCATGGAAAGTAATTTTCATATCTTGAGGAGAAGAGCTTGTAATATTGAGATTGCTCATCCCATAAAATACCCCGAGGCTTAAATTTGTAAGGGCCTTACAGTATGATGAAATCTACTCTCCGAGCAATGGATTAACAACTCTGAACTTCATCAACGATAATTGCTGCAGTGAGTTGAACTCTACATTGGGCAACTTGAGCTTACCCCAATTCAAGTTCAGTTTTAGAACCCGGAATGATGAGCAGTTCAAGGCACAAAGAGGCAAGCAAAATGTATTTTTCAAGGCAATGTCAAGATCAAGCTCTTGAACACGACACATGGTTGCGTTATATATCCATGCCACTATACGAAGGCGGAATAAGTCTGCCCCATTGCAAAGATGCAAAAATCTCTCGACAAATCGGGTAAAACTGTCTAATTCTTGTTCCTTGATTGGTTTTACACCCCAGAATGTCTTTAAATTCAAGGATGATTCCAAAGATATATTCATGCAAGGCATAGAGAAGCAAAGCTGTCTTAGCCTCCTTGACAATGTGCACACACATGAAATGTCTCTCATATGAAGCAATGAAAGGATGTCATAAATTATGTTATCTGGAAGATTACTTAACCAATCAAACTTGTAGTTGGTCTTCTTCAATTGTGGTTCCATGACCAATTGAAAACCTAACATAACCAAATAATAATAATAATAATCTAACAGTTAAAATAAAATTTCAAAGCAAATTTTGCTTGATAGATTAATATCTTAATATAGTAATAACGAAAGAAAGAGTAAGTAAAAGAGTGGAATAATACCTTGTCCCCCAATGACTCAGGTCTTCTTTTTTCTGCAAACTGATGATTTTTTCCCTTCAAAATTGTATAATAATATTACTAGTCAATTCTAAAGAACTTGATATCTCTGTACAAGCCTTCAATCCAAATATATAAAAACAAAAGAGAAACTAGATCTGCACATGAATTGAACAAATTGAAGGTTTGTGTTGTGCGTTTGCTTGCGGTTTTAGTATTATTTACATTAGGGCTATCTACTTAGAACAAAGGCCCAATTAGGGTAATTCTATTTTCACACCCATTGAATTATTATTATTATTTTTTTTATTAATTTTTTTTAAAACAATTTTACCGTTAAACAAAATGACCAATATATACCAAACTTTAAAACTAGATTTTCTCAATAGATATCTTTGGAACATAAAATTTTTTAGTACATATCTATTCAAAAAATAAATACATCAGACCGAAAATATGTAAATAGATGGTATGAAAAAAAATTAAAATCTCATTCAAAAAAATATAACTGAAAATATGTAAATAGTTCAAAACTATAGAACTTAAAATATATAAATGATTCGAAAATACGGATTTAAAAACATGAATTTAATTTAGAAGTATAGTTAAAGAAGGTTTTCTATGGTTCAGTAGTTATATGTTGAAAATTTATATTTATTTAGAAATACAATACCGAAATTTGTTATTTTGTTCGGTTGTTGATTGCTGAATTTTTTAAATTTATTCAGATGACTAGTATTAACAATTTTCCTTCTCTTCCTCAATCAATACAAAATGAATAACAAAAATAGTAAAACAATGTCAAAGTATTGTCGGAAAGTGTCGGAAAATACAATTTAAATTTATGTTTAGGGGTGTGGCGTGGTTTCATATGTTTTGTGTGGTGTATGTATATAATGTGTTGAGTTTTTGTGTTGATATGTGCATACATTATGTCTTGGGGGTATCTTTGGAACATTTGGTGTGTAGAATGAGTAAAACAAAAGGTAAACAAATTTATAAGTGTGTGCATTAAGAAATAATATACATAGAGAGTAAATAGTGTATAAAAATAGAATTGTTTCAATACACTCTTGAAATTTGCTTAAAATATAAATTGTTCCTTACTCGGTAACCTTGTTGCCGACCACTAAATGTTATCAAAATTACATTACATCCTTTCAAATTTTTGATTGTATAATAGATGACATCTTTTTTTTTTTAAATCATTATTTAATTAACATTTTTTAATAATGTCATAAATATATTTCAATTATAATTTTATTACTGCAAAAAAAAAAGTTGGAAATTTTATTTTTTCTATTAATTTTGTTAGATAAAAAATTATGATAAGAGAATATTTATAATTTTTAGAATCACAAGAGACAATCCATATTTTAAGCAAACATATTTATAATTTACCTACACACAATATTTTTTTTTTAAAAAATGGCTTTCCATCAAAGTTGTAAACCACCATTAATTATCGTTTCTTCTCAAAACTCCATATTAGTTGTGCACCAGTCCAATAATAGGAATTATATACTTATCTAATTAGAAAAATAAGAAAAAATTGAGGACAAATCACATGGCCATGTGGTGTTTTGAAGCCATATGATAATTTTTCGAAAGAATTACAATTGAGTAATGTTTTTACAAAAGAATTACAAATTCATGAAAAAATTTAAGACTTTAATTATTAATGCTCATAAAATTTACCACTGATCTGAAATTATTTTTAAAAAAACTTACACTAAATTGTAATTATTCCTAATTTTTTTGCTTAGGCCACAGTACAAGCTTGCAAAAAATTTCATTCTTTTTGTGATGTAAAATACGTGACCAAAGGATAAAATTATAATTCATGTGAAAGGATAAAATTATCATTGTGGCAAATGATTGTGGAATTGTTTTAAATTTAGTAGTCTAATTATAAACCTAAGCCTCATCAAAAGTCGACCCATGGGCCGGCCCAAGTCTAGACCGGACCATTGGCCCATAGCCTAGCGCATGACACGGTCCAATGGGCTTTTCAAGGCTTGATTCATGGGCTCAACTCAGAAGCCCATGTCAACGGCCCATTTAAGTTTTGTTATCGTTAAGAGTTTAGTTACTTTTCATAATATTATTTTTTTTCTATTAATTTCTAATATATACAGTGTTTGGGTTAAGATTGCAAATGATTGACAAGTTTATATGTACCAACCTAGTTAGAACATATTTATCTTGTAGTGATACAATCCATCTCGTTCTTACTTTCAATTTAGTAACACTATGAATGTAATTTTGTACTTCAATTAAATAAATAAAGTTCAATTTTAATTTTTTTATTATTAAATATGTAAATATAATTGTTAGGGTGCCTTTAAAAATATTATATTATAAATTTTGAATTTTTTCAATTACTTTTTGATTTAATAATAAAGCTCATATTAAGTCCAAATGGGGCAAGCCTGACCCAAGCCCATATTTGTAAGCCCATGATTAGAGCTTGGGCTTTACAAATATAGAATGGGTTAGCCTGAGCAAAATCAATTGACTAGTCAAAGACTCATGGGCCTATGCCTGAAATTTTCAGATTTTGCTAGCCCGGCTTGGCCCATTGCCGAGGCTTATGTAAACCGTTCGAAGAGCAAATCACACTCATCTAATGTAACCTAACCAGTTTTTGGGCTATTTCTATCATTTGGATCTCCAAATTCATTTTTTCCATTTATGAAAATTTTAAAATTAGTCATAATTTTGTTTAGCAACATTAGATTTTAGAGTTATTGATTCGGCTTGATTTTAGAGTTGTTATATTATTCATCATAACTATGGGTGTGGAAATATGACCTCACAGCCTGATCAATATCCTTCCCGAGATTCTGGGAACTAAGCCGTAGAGCATGTGCAAGAATAGAGAAGCTCAACACTTACATACAAGAAGACAACAAGTCCGATGGCTCATCCACCCCAGGGCACTACAACGATCAAATCAATAATCTCTCTCAAGGATATCGGCTAATCAAAGCATACGTTAGACCCATGGGTGCCTTATTTATATAGTAATTTGTGCCCACTTTCCCCTAGAAGTCTTACTTCATAAGACTATCTCTTTTAGGATAACACTTTTCTTGATGCCTTCAATTCAGATTAAGATCAACTCTTTCAAGAGTCCTTACTTATCTAAACAAAGAGTCTGTCATGATCTAAGACTCTTGTCCTCATTCGAGTATCTCGAATACAAGTACAATCCAACCACACCTCGACAAACCAGAACTATCCATGTGGCACCTTGGCTAACCACCTAAGCCACGTGGACAACTTAAAATTATGTCTTCACAATAACTAAGGTTTTAAATGTTGGGAGATGAATCGGTATTGACCGTGGTGCAGTAATATCGAGAATATTGAGTAATATATGTTGAAAATTGAGTGTCACTATTGTAATTTTAAAAAAATCAACAGAAGCAAAGAAATAAAAAAATAAAAAACTAAAACTTTGAAACAACCGAAGGGCATCGGTCATGAATTGGTTCTTGAACAACATATAAGAAACCAGTTGATATAACTGTGTACCAAAAATCAATATTGATATCAAAAGAGTATGATTTTTATTCCAACTGTGTACCAAGATGGATCAATATCCCAAGAGGTAATTGTAAACAATTTCATAAAAGATATGCAAAAAAAAGAAAAAAAAGAAAAAAGAAAAAAAAAAGAGTTCAGCGAGAAAGAAAATAGAGGAACTTACGTGTAGGTCTTAATAGGTGGATTCATTATTTAATAGATCCTATAATAATTAATGGCATTTTTTATCGAACACTATTAAAAAATGTCACTAATTATTAATTTTCAGTGACCGTTTGAAAATTGTCACAAAAAATATCACTAATTAAAAGTTTTAGCGACAATTTAAAAAAAAAATCACACAGAAAGTTATTAATTTTCAACTTTCACCGACAGTTTGATAAATTTGACACAAAAAAAAAAAAATCACTAATTGTATGTTTTAGCCACAATTTATAAAAATCGTGACAAAAAAAGTTACTAATTGTCAATTTTTACAAACATTAGGCTATACACTTAAAACAAAGGCCCAATTAGGATAATTCTATTTTCATACATATTGAATTAGTTATTTATTTATTTATTACAATTTTACCATTAAACAAAATGACTAAATATCAATATCCATATCAAATCTTAAAACTAGATTTTCTCAGTAGATATCTTTTTAACATGAAAATTCTGGTACATATCTTTTTAAAAATAAACACATCAGACCGAAAATATGTAAATAGAGAGTATGAAAAAAATTAAAATCTCATTCAAAAATATATAATCGAAAATATGTAAATAGTTCAAAACTATAGAACTAAAAATATATAAATCGAAAATAAGAATTCAAAAACAAAATTTTAATTCGGAAGTATAGTTACAAAATTTTTTCTATGGTTCAATAGTTGTATGTTGAAAATTTATATTTATTCAAAAATACAAAACCAAAATTTATTATTTTATTTGGTTGTTGATTGCTAAATTTTTTAAATTTATTCGCATACTAGTATTAACAATTTTCCTTCTCTTCCTCAATCAATACAAAATGAATAACAAAAATAGTAAAACAATGTCGAAGTATTGTCGGAAAGTGTCAGAAAATGCCATGTGTGTAGGGTACAATTCAAATTTACGTTTAGGGGTGTGGCGTTGGTTTATGTTTTGTATGGTGTATGTACATAATGTGTTGAGTTTTTGTGTTGATGTATATATTATGTCTTTGGGTAACATTTGGAGTGTAGAATGAGTAACACAAAAGGTAAACAAAGTTATAAGTGTTCGTATTAAGAAATGATGTGCACAGAGAGTAAATGATGTGTGAAAATAGAATTTCTC